TGGAGGATGCATTTTGGGGAGTGTCCGCTGGGCTCTGGTCTGTGCTGAGGACAGTCCAGTGCACTTTGCCCCGCGCACGGCACAGCTGCTGTGGGTCTGGGGCGACCTGACCCTTATGAAGCTAAAAAGGGTGTCCTGATATTTTCCTGGCCAAGTCAAATACTGTAACTACTAGCAACTGCTCGATTTTTGTTGTTGTATGCCTTAAGTGTGTGTGTGTGTGTGTGTGCAAAAGAAATCTGTCAGCTCGGGCATGTTTTTTAGTGAATATGAGTGCTAGAGTGGGCTGAACCTTTGCAAGCCTCCTAACTGCTAAAGGGTGCAAAGGGCTGCCTCTGCCTCTGCCAAAGTACACACACGCACACGGGGATGCGTACGTCTGTACCGCAGCCACGATGAGCAGCCTGTCGCTTTCCCTGCAGTTTGGACATGCTTCATCTGGAGCCCAGGGGGCTGCAGTGAGGATCACTTGGACTTGTATTTTTGTTGGCAAGGTAGCCCCTCACTTCCAGGGAGAGTTCAGCACGTTTTTCGAGGTCTTGAGCTTTGTGTTTGACTTTCAGATTTACAGTCCTGCCTGAAGATGAGAACCCCACTCTCTTTCATCCGCATGTGTATGCTATGCCATGGCACAGGTATATCATTACATCATTCCGGGAGTGTCTAGTTATCTCTCCTAATGCGATTCCCTCTCGATTGCCATTATTGAACCATCCCATCCTTGCTCTGAATTCTTCCTTCCGGGCACTGTCATGTATTTTTCCTCAGCAAAATTATATCCCCATTGAAAACTCTCCGGCTCTTCCCGAGGCTGGTTCCCTGGGGATGTATTGCATACATCTCCCGCTCCCTCCCAGCCCCTCCATGCCACCCAGACGCGCGGGCGTTGGAAAGGATTGATTAGTTCTGCTAAGAGGCGCTTTTTGTCTCATGTACCTGGCCATAATTAAAAGCAAGTCTCTTGGTTGCTGTAGAGTCCTTCACTTTTCTGATTTAACTCTCCTTGCCTTGGAGCCACGTTTCCACCCCAGGCGCTGAGAAGCTGTAGATTGCAGGACAAACTGCTCCTGCCTCCTGATGTTAATTCAGTTTTAGTGACTACGCTGTGATCATCGGGCTCCTGAGCAGGGGCAGCGGGATTTATGCGAGAGACAGAAAGGGAGACCTCATCATTGCCTCCATGCACCCAT